CTGTGGTCTTGATTCTAAGTCGCTCTTCAAACTACTTGTTCTTGGTTGAAGAAGAGTCCAGAAGTGTGCGTGAATCTTGGTCAGCTATCTTGACGCGGTTTCAACACTGGGCGCTCATCTCTGCTTGTCGTCCAAGGTTCAAAACTTCTCGCCAGGGTCCGCGGCTCAATCTGACTTCTTCTCTCCGGCTTGGGTCGAACAAACTGAACTGATTTCTGTCGGTTGGGGTCTCGTTTTTATTGACGCCGTCAAAACTGGGGTGGGTCTGTCGGCGCCAGGGGTTCTTCGATAATTCTTAATACGTATTCACCCTTCTTATTTCTGGTTAGGGATTTTTCATTCTTTTCCATTTTCCGTAACTCACTCTCACTCCCACTCCCTTACTGTGCCTCTGAGGGGCGTGTACCCACTTCCCCGCTTCTTCGTATCGGCTCCTTACACTTACACTCCTGACAGGGGCGTCGACCGATTCTCCTCGTGCGTCACGTGACCGCTCTCGACCAATGAGGTCCTGGTCGGGTATCTTTCCTCCTCCTTCGTGTGTCATGCGATCTTATTTAGCCAATGACATCTTTAGTCGGGCGTGGACAATCCGTGGCTTTGTTTTGGGAAAGAAATACCTTGCTTAAAAGACAAAAATATTAATTTAAATCGCCCTTATCATGAGCGACTGAGATGACACGTTGGGCTTTTTAACACGTGGTATTTGTCAAGCAGTTTATCGCTAATTGGATATGATCCAAGAAAGGAATTTCTCAGACTCGTTGGCGTTTCTGAAACGGAATAAAAATATTTCATTTTCCCTCCGCTCGAAGGTCTGATAATAAAAATTTTTATCATCTCAAAAAAATTTTTGCCAGTGACCACCTTGTGTGGGCTTTTTCTAATTCTGAAGACTGTCTATGTTTTCGTATTAATGGTTTGTGTTCATATCCTTAGATACACTTCCATTTTTCGCGGATCCGCGGAAATCGGTCAGATGCTTGACCTGAATATTTTTCGACACCTGTTATCTGTCAGCCGTGCGTGTGTGTGCTCGCCTATGACCTGTTTTCGTATTATTTTTTCTTTCTTTCTTCTTCGTTTTCTCTTTCTTCCTTCCAGATCGCTTGAATGTAAAGAAAGAATTATTCTTAAAACCCAAAATATTTTTTGACCTTAAAAAATTATTAAATGGTTGATAAACCGTAAAAAACAAATCATATATCTATGAATATTTCTCTCAGCTCGTCAGGTATGCATGATGTCACAGTTTGAGTGTTGACTGTTTTTCCATTCTGGCGAAGTCACACTCTGCATATCATTTGTAGTTTCTTGAGTCCATTTACATCAAGTCCCGCAGGCCGTTTCTCTGTAAGCAGGTCTCTGAATTCGGCTCTTCAAAAAGTTTGGCTCATCTTGCACGAAACCTTCACCAATATATTCAAATCTCATGTGCTGTTGTCGGGCTGGGAATTGATCTGCGTGACCCTCATACATCGATTTCGACGGGAGAGTCGACGATGTATGTATGTATGTAGAAAAAGAAACTGTAATAAGGGAAACATATAAGGTATGATACCAAATAGCAACTCTCATAATGTTTAAATGCTATTCAACTCAAATGGAAGCAAACGTATGTTAACATTCGTTTTTTTAGCTGCCTATCGTCCTCTATGGGTTACTCAATGTCTTTTCGGTAATTCTATTTTATTAGAGTTAGAAATCTTATCAATTAACCCATAGCTCTATTGAGGTTAAGTAGATTAATACCACTTTTTCAAGGGGACTTACATGTAATTCCATATCGCGAAGCCAAAGAAAATTGGAACTCGGCATTGCGATTAACAATTCGTAGTCAATATTCATTACACAACTTGCATATCCAAGCATACAGCAGCTTATATTCCCAAACGATTACCCATGTTTGTAATACTCAGACTGGACGCTGTTTACCTTCCATGATCGTCCGGTAAGCAGTATTTACTTAGAAGTGAACACAGATATCCAGAATTATTAAGACCCTTTTTATTAATCTTTTATTAAACGGTCTTTTCTTAAATTAAGACACATTGTTAAATTTTAATTTAGTATTATTTGTGCTTTAATCATTTCACTTCAAACATCAAAATAAAACCGCTAAGACGCAAGGGGGATACTGAGTGTTAGAGAAGATGAGAAAACCTTCTGTTAAAGAGAGGGGACATTAAAAAAAAAACAAAACAAAAAAAAGCAAGAATTAAGAAGGCAAAAGAAAACGATTGACATTGGATTTAAATTTTTTTAAGATCAAAGCTGACTGGGAAGCAAGACGCTAGAGGTGAGTGCCACAACTGAAAAGCGTGATAGAAGAAAATGCTAGCATAAAACTTACGATTACATCTAGCCATTTCAACTGGAAAAGGATGACACATTGTCACCAATCTTGTACTGCGCATGAATTCATAACACATACACACACACACACACACACACACACACACACACATATATATATGTATATATATATAATATATAATATATATAATATATATATATATATATAAATATATATATATATATATATATATATATATATATATATATATATATATATATATATATATATATATATATATATATATATATATATATATATATATATATATATATATATATATATATATGTGTGTGTCTGTGTGTGTGTGAAAAGTGTATATAAATATAAATAAATATATATATATATATATATATATATATATATATATATATATATATATATATATATGTATAATTATTTATATATTATAAATGGTACTTATCAGAAAGCGCTCAATATTAGAGATAGAGCTAACATATTTGGTTGGATCGATGTGAGTTTGTGACCCTGGGTTTCACGCTTTAGCGATCGTCAGACAAACCCTGGCGATCGCTAAAGCGTGAAACCCAGGGCACAAACTCACATCTAGTGATTAAACAAATATATATATATATATATATATATATATATATATATATATATATATATATATATATATATATATACTAATTAATAATGTTACTTCACGTGCCAACAATTTTAATATCTGTAATGATCGTTGGAAAATATTTAAAAAAATATTTTAAAATCAAATTACTGTTATTTAGCTTTGTTTTATTTGTGTATTAATTTCGGAAAGGCTTTATATTCATTGACAATTATTATCTGAATTAGTTTAAAACTATCAGTTAAATACAAGCTTGTATTATCGCACCCTTGGTGATAAGAGTTTGAGACACGCAGGATTCTGGGAAGCAAGGAAAACAGAAACAATTTTTTTCTTTTTACCCTGTTTTGAATATTTAAACATCTATGTTAAAGAAATAAACCAAATAAAAGTAATCAATAAGCCTCCTGGCTTTGATGATATCATAAATCCGGAAACAAGGCTTAGGAGGCTTTGACGAGCGTGGAACCACCTCTTAATAGGTGTTTTTCCCAGACACACCTGACCCGGGGTGGTATCATCTCATAGTGTCCCAGGTATGGGCAAAGAGTTAACTCTCAAATGGGGGTCAAAGGACTATGAAATAATAAAATAATTATAGTGCAAATATCAGGACACATGGCAAAGTGGATAAAGGCGTTAGTTAGATCCAGTGATTGGACCCAAAGAGTGTGAGTTCAATATCTGGTCAGGGCGGTGGAGAACGTGAAGAGGGGAATTAACATTAGATAACTGATAACTGACATCCATTAGACATGTCACGTGGAAACAGAACAGTCTGCCCCAGTGAGGGTTCAGTTAGACATTCCAACCACCTGAAGAAGGCCGGAGCGTACAACAGCCGAAACGTTGTAATAAATATGGCGAGAAAGATGTGGACAATAGTCCGAATAATATAAATCGTGTACATAGTACCTCACCTCAGAAATATAGACAGGTACTATACCAGAAATATATTTTAATTGTAATATAGATCAGCAATATATTTATGTAAGGAAAAAATATTATCAGCAATACATTTTTGTAAGAAAAAAAATTACCAGTAAATCTGTTCATCTGCCTTTGAATATAACTTGTTATTTTTCCTTCCTTTCCTATCATCTGACAATGTTTGTCTTTCTTTCATGTATTTACATCTTTTCTTTTGATAGTCTTAGATGAGCTTAACAAAGTTATACACAAAATATCTTGAAAAACAATTACCAGCAATACAAATTTTGTGAAAAGAAAAATTACCAAGAACCTACAAAGAAATCAAAATGTCAGAATTAAATGACCCATAAGGATTTGATGTGTCGTAAAACAAACCAGAAAAATCCGTAACAAACAAAATGTCCGTACATAATTTCAATAATTACTCTCCCATCAAAAAACAACTTGTAATTTTAATAGTTTTCTAGTTTTGTGCGTTGTTTCTCATTTTAAATATTTTATTGAACTTCCTTTCAGTTATGACATGTGTGATACACTCTGAGGCGATCATGTATTTTTCGATACATAATCGCCTAATATCTGCCACGTTAGTTATGTATTTTTCGATATATGACTGATGAGGCAGATATTTTCCCGCAGTAGGTTGCCATTTCTTTCAGCGGTAGACATCCAGTTGCCATCTATGGCTATAAAACCGGATCTGTCCTGCTATTTACACATAGTGGGTGGAGGAGAAGAAGATTCATAACTTTCTCAAGGCTATTACCACATAATGGATTCGACTGGAATTCGAACTCCGATTACTCAATCCGAGCCGCTGTCCATTACGTCACCGTAATTTAAATGTATTACTTTTAGGTTTTATTTAAATATTTTTCCCTCTACAATTATTTCAGATTATCTAAAATATGCTATAAATTTTATTATTTTTTTGCCATTCTCCCAAGTGTTCATTCACTATAGCTTTTCGGCTTTTCTTCTTTCATGCTTTTTTCTTTTTCCTTTTTACCATTCTTTGTTTATTAATATCACCATTTTGTTTTCATTTTTCTTGCTTGCATGTTTTGTTACGTCATTTGTTAATTAATCTTTAATGATAGGTTTTCTCTCATCTGCCTTTGAATGTTATTTTTTCCTTCCTCTCTCCTTTCATCTGACAATGTTTACCTTTCTTTCATGAACTTTCATCTTTTATTTTGGTTGTCTTAGATGAGCTGAACAAAGTCATACACAAAATATCTGTTTATTTATCTGTCTCAGACAGTTGAATATCTATCTATCTATCTATCTATCTATCTATCTATCTATCTATCTATATGTGTGTGTGTGTGTGCGTGTGTGTGTGTGTCTGTTCATTGTCTATCTATCTATGTCTGTCTGTTCATTATCTATCTATCTATCTATCTATCTATCTATCTATCTATCTATGTTCATTATCTATCTATCTATCTATGTTCATTATGTATGTATGTATGTATGTATGTATCTATCTATTTCTGTTCATTATGTATCTATCTGTTTATGCCATTTTTCTATCTATCTATCTATCTATCTATCTATCTATCTATCTATCTGTCTATTACTGTTCATTATCTATCTGTTTATGCCAGTTCTCTCTATATCTGTCTGTCTCTCTCTCTCTCTCTCTCTCTCTATATATATATATATATATATATATATATATATATGTATATATATATATATATATATATATATATATATATATGTCTGTTCATTATCTATCTATCTATCTATCTATCTATGTCTGTTCCTTATCTATCTATCTATCTATATACTTTTGTTCATTTTCTATCTATCTCTTAAAGCCAGTTCTCTATCTTTCTATCTGTCTATCTATCTATCTATCTATCTATCTATCTATCTATCTATCTATATATATATATATATATATATATATATATATGTGTGTGTGTGTGTGTGTGTGTGTGTGTGTGTGTAGGCCCGTTCATCATCCGTCATTTTGTCTGTATGTCTCAGAGAGTAGATCCGTTATCTTTTTAAATTAATTTATTTCAACATTTTAATATGATACGTATCTTTTTATAAGAAAAGTATAGAATAAATACTAATTAATAACAATGGCATTGAATGACAATTAATCAGGACATACATATTTAATGGATATGCTTTGTACATGTAATTACGTAAATGCAGTTGAACTGTTGTTTATAAGTGACCAAAACAAATTCTTCACACAAATGAAATTCAACATGTTAAAATACAATAAGCTCCATGCGTCATGTGTCCCGCAGCTCGCCTTCAACTTTATTTTAATATTGATATATTTTTTTATTTAATAACACTGCTTTTCAAATAGTTGCTTGAAAATGGATTACGCGAAAATTATTTTCTTAAAACTGTTATTTCCACGTAGTCAAATCATCTTTCTTTCCTCTATATTCCAAATATAAACATAAACTGTCAGTAAGGCAACTTTTTTCCAAATACTACTACTTTGCGAAACAGACTATGTATATGATTTATTGGACTTAATCTCAAGTCAAGGGCCAATCTCTCCTCCTTATCGTCATACATTTACCTTCTACCTACTATTTGATTCGTAACGCCCATTTCAAAAGTAATCTCTCTATCTTGAATGACGTTCGATTATTCTGTTAGGCGAAATTTGGTATTAAAATATATAAGTGTGTTTCATTAAGACGGATTATATATAAGGGTGTTTCATTAAGACGGATCAGTCAGCAGTAAATATATCAGTGTTGTTGGTGAAATAAATCAGTGTTATTGGTGAACATTTATTTATTTCTCGATTGGATCATGTTATTTAAGTCATGGCAATTATGCGGGAAAATAATATCGTCCAAATATACGCCAAATCTGAAAGAAAAAGAAAGAAAAATCGTTCGACGTTTAAACCTAATTGACATTAAAATCAGTCCAAGTTATTGAAACACCCGCTATATGCATATGTAAATAATGCTCAGTTTCAATTCAATATTATGTTTTACTATTCTACTGCTTATTGATGATCAAAAAGACAAATTTGCTAACATTTGTTTCGTATTAAGTGTTGAATATTGTTAAGTATTCTTCTTTCATTGCAGCCGAAGTGTGATCAGCTGAATCACATGCTAATGTTAGGAACCAGACATTTATTTTATCATATATTTCCTCTGTGACATTTGTAATTATGCGTACAAGATTTGAGATATCATCAATAATTTAAGAGGTCAGGTCGTGTTTTCACCATAAAAATGGTATTATAAAACGATATTGATAACATTGTCAAGGTTTACCTATATGTTATATATATATATATATATATATATATATATATATATATATATATATATATATATATATACATACCATTGGAATTTCGGTTTTATTCCATTTTTCTCAACAGCGATGATGAAAATGACGCTAAGAAGTATGGGGTTGCTGAGAGGGAAAATAACAAGAAAGTTTTAGTGAGAAAAATGGACAATAAAGAATAGAATTCAGGCCAATAGAACATGGTGAGGGTCATTGCTTTCATATCTTTGGAGATTTTAGGCAGCAGGAAAGAAAAAAGAAACCAAAAGAGAGTTTCACGGTGCGAAGTGCGAGAAAATAGATACAATTACTATTAGAATTAGAATATAATTTACGGTTTTATCTAGCTATTTCAACAGTACAATGAGGAAATATAATTCTCAGTTTACTTGTACGGTTAAATTCATGCGGCCTATATGTTAAGGAGAATATTAGAACAACTGCCATGAAAATATTTATAGAAAATACAGAGGGATATCATGTCAAGGCGTAAAGAACATGATTGATGTCGAAATGCCAGGATAACATCCTCGAGACATCTTTGGATTTTGCCAAGAATCTCGAGCTATATAGTAGGAACACCAGACCATATATGACTGCAATATTAAAGAAGAATGGTAGCTCTATAAATGTGCAAGATAGATTCTGGCGAGAAAAATTATCTGGTAGGCCACATTGAACAAATTTTCCTAGAAGCTCACGTAGCAATTTATTCAATATAATCACTCTATTTCGTAACATTGGAAAAATATACTTAAAACAAGAAGGTTCAATGAGTCTTTCTCCTTCGGGTTAGCATTAGCCATGCTAGTAGATGACAAAAATGGTCGTCTGTAATCTTTAAATATTGTAGGTTCCTTTTTGAAGCGTTAAAATTTACAACCCATTTGTTGCCCCCCCCATTTAACAATTGATTAAAAATTATTTTCGAGAGCAGTTTTCAGTTTTTCATTGTCGGCCTTATCGGGCTTTCTTTCTATTGAGACAAGAGTAAATAGTTACGTCAGCAGCATAAAACCTAGTAAGGATCTGAATATAACGTTGAGGAAGATGAGAAACAACGTAGGTCAAAATATACTGCGCTGTGAAATCCCCGCATTAATGTGAATTGATACAGTAACGTGGCCGTTCTATTCGACCATTACAGGATTAATAAAGAACGAGAAGCGTAAGTCAAATATTCGACCAAAGTCACTATATTTTTAATGTATATGTTCACAATAACTTTGTTGATAGCATGAAATATATTATGGGAATAGGAATATCAAACAGGAAATTCGTAAGCATTTCTGCCTTATTCCAATTTTTAGGAGGAGTTTTCCCCCCAAAACAACTTTTTTTTAAATATTAGAGCCACTGAGACGCAAGGACTTACTGAGTGTGAAAGAATAAGCAAAACGAAAAACATTATTAAGAAGCAGGTACAATAGATGTGTATTCAAGAGTACAGTAGATAACGATTAATACTACATGACGTGCGAAAAAAGAAACTGTTATCATAGCACTTCCGGTTACATCAAGCCAATTAAACTACGAATTGAGGAGACGTTGTCGACAATATGGCACTGCGCGAAAATTCATTACGTCTACGTGCCATAGCGAAGAGGTCCTCCAAAAAGTTAGCATAAAAATAATTATAGGAAAGGGATAATAAATCTAAATTATGATGGTGGGAAAGTCACTGAATCTGAGATGCCAGGTAAGGAACAAAAATATTGGATATTCATCTTTGGATTTCTTTCAAGAATCTTTTGATATATAGCGGGAGCAAAGAACCGTATAGGGCAGCAATATTTATTGGATGGACGAACCCCTGATGACACAATAATAAAATTAATAAATTCACATGACACAAGCATTAATTGATAGATTTTTCATTGAGTGGTGTTATTATATATATATATATATATATATATATATATATATATATATATATATATAAAAGTGAACATAAAAGTCAACACTTAGAGGCGACAGTCTGTTTCATGCTATATGCAATCGTCAGGCCACCGATTGCATATAGCATGAAACAGACTGTCGCCTCTAAGTGTTGACTTCTATGTTCAATTTTATATTTACACACGCTCTATCTCTGATATTGAGTACTTTATTCCATAAATATAGCACACCTGAAGACTATATTTCTTTATGTATATATATATATATATATATATATATATATATGTATGTATGTATAATAAAATATAGTTTTAAAGTATGCTATAATATATATATATATATATATATATATATATATATCAGATTCAGTTTTATATAAAATTGAATATATATATATATATATATATATATATATATATATTATTTTCCATATATATGTATATAGATATATGTATATGTATGTATGAGCTACATTTAATACATTTTAAAAGGCTATTTAATAGTCATTAAATAATAAACTAGAAATATAAATTAGGAAAATTTATCAACTACGATGTTCAAATTAAACAAAGCACCGGGTGGTCCGAAAGTCTCGTCACTCTAACCATCTCTTCCCAAATGTCGGAACGCGTTTCAGCCATTTGAAATAGAAATTATGCTATATAGGAGTAACAAGACTTTCGGACCACGCTGTGCTTAATTCAAACAACGTAAATATTAATTACTACAATTGCATGGGTAACACTGACAAAAATGCTAATAAATAAAACAATAAACTACAAAACAGCAACACTACAAAACACAGCTATCATAATATTTAAATGCGATTCATCGCAAATCAAATAAATTATTTATCATATTTTCTTGTGAAGCGGCATATCAACCTCTATGGGTTATTTAATACCGGAATCTAACTATTTTGTACTTCTATGTTTTGAAGCAATAATAATGGACTAGTGATACCGACTTACTAATTAACCAGTTAAGAGGTAGAAATATAACTTCCCCAATATTATATTTCGAGTAAGTGAATATAACGAACTGTATGGAAATTGGATCGAACTCGGCTCTCCGATTGACAATTCCGAGTCGGTATCCTTCAGACCTCCCACACATCCAGTTACAACACGTGTTATTCCCAAGCTGTCATATATCTAGGTACTGACCAGGCTCTACATTGCTTTACATCGGTGATCGATCGGGAAGGGAACAAATATGACATAGAAAACTGTGTAAGTAGAACCGTATATAGTTTTAAAAATATATATGTAATAGAGAGAAACAGAGTCAGAAATTGAGCTGTTTATCTGCAGGACAAAATACAAATCCTGGAATTTAAAATCATGAATAATATAAATAAAATGAGGAAAATTATTTCGAAATATCGACACACAAAGGAATTACCTTGGGAAAATGTAAAAATGAACACTCGATTCCAGGTGCGTTGAAACTAAACAGGCACACATTTTGAAAAATCGATAAACATTGATATAGGCTGGTAATGCGAAAATAAATGAATATATATGTAGAGAGGCAAAAGTATGTGATAGGCGAAAGAAAAGAAATAACCTTGAAACAAAGCTCTACAAATTTAAATAATTTTATTGAGTATAAAAATACTTGTTTTCTGTTTAAACTGAAAGAAACCAGTTATAAATTTCTTCATCCACAAATGAAGAACAAAAAACAAATTGTCAGTATAGGGCGAAAGCTATTATAATTATCACA